ATACTAGTTCTCATTCTCGCCTTTTCTCACGAGAGTTATGAGACCCATTTACAGTAGACCCCCTATAATATGGTAGATACGTTACATTTTATATAAATTCCGTGTTTTATGATCACTTAAACACATGAGCCAATCACAGCCCGGCACGTGTGCAGTTTAGGGACTACAGCTGTTTGAAAGGTTTTCTTCCATAAAATTAATCAATTCTAGACTAATTTGACTCAACATTTCCAAAATAAGTATAATTTTTTGGGAATAATCCATATAAACTATGCTATAAACAAAAAATTGTAGGATTACTTACTGAGTGTGCACCATTCGACAACGCCATTGCTTAAGCTTGTTTTCATCACGGAGCGGCACATCGAATGGCGGGCATGTGTTTCCTGATAAGTTATTTTTCTGCGAAAAATTTGCTGAACTTTGGAGATATCATTAATATAAATATAATTTTTATGGCCGTTAAATAATAAATGGCTTTTAGTAGGTCCGCTGCTTGTTTAAACTCAACGGTTTGTACAATATCTGCTATTGGTCTAGATTCGACCAATCCTGTTGCAACACGAGTCAGCGATGATGTTTTACTGTATTATATGAGTGTCTTTTAGCATGTTTATATGAATATGACCGCAATTTTTTCACTGTATTATACGAATCCGTATTATATGAACCTGTTTTATAGGGGGTCTACTGTATTAATAATTTAAGTGGTTACAGTTGTAGAAAATATATAAAAAAAACTAGATAAAATTAAATTATTGAGCATTCAAATAGTAATAAATTTACAGAACATAAATGTGAGAAAAAAAAAAAAACATATCATCTGTGGGGTGGCAACATCCACCACATCACCATCCAGATACATATGATTCTAATTTTTCATATAAATAATCAAAATTTCAATTATTATTTTTATGCATTTTTCTTGCAATGTGCTTATAGTCCTTTGAGATATATATATGTGTGTGTTATGTGTATATGTACAGTGTCTAAATTAATAATGATAAAAATTAGTGATTCTGAATTTTCAGTACAAAAAAAAAAAAAATAAATCTCTTATGATATTCATTCTGCTTTATGCAAAAAGCCAAACTTTCGCCATGTAAAATCTATGGGCTGATTGCTGGTTTTAAGTTTGTTGCGTGCTGCATGTCAATTGAGTTTCCAATTCTTGTCAATTTATATTGATCTCAAAGATAATTTTTTATTTTATCTTTACAATGGACATTTAACATGCATAATGTGTAGCTACATGTGCATGTTTTAACCAGTTACTGGAGTTGATAAGCCACTGGCCACACATGTGGGTATTTTAAACATTTCTTTATTTCTTGATGCTTTTGACATTTATGACATTAGATGTGCACATCCTTCCCAAACCTATGGGTTTTAAACTGCTTTAGATAGAATGTTGTTATCACATTTATGTTTTCATGTGAAGTCAAAATTGATAAACCTATGCCACAGAGCTCAGCTTCATTTTTCTAGAAAATACCTAGTGATTAATTGTCTACCAACAGTTTAACTAAAATTAAATAAAAGTGTAATGTTTTCATTGTTTTAAAGATAAAATTTTTAATTACTGCAAAAACTGGATATAATCAACTTCTATGGAAACTTCCTACCTTAATATTTACCCCACAGAATGATGTAAGTTCAGAAACACAAACATTTTCAGTCTGAGACCTGATTCAGGTCACAAATTTAAAATAGATGAAATGTCTAACTTTTTGGTGTTCAAATGTGTCAGGTGCAGAAGAGATTACATGAAAATTCAAATTTAAAATCCTCTAAAATCAACCAATAGGATGCATCCAAGTGTAGAAATTGTAAAATGACTTATCAAACAGGACCTACCATGCACGTGAAATGTGCCTCTCTTTAAAATTTACACATTTTCTTTGTCTTTCTGCTTTAAAACTCTCTAGCACTTCCAGTAGTTTGAGTTGGTCCACGTTAGTCATTGTTCTATTTAACATAGCCCATTGTAAATCAATTTTAATTTCATCCTTCCCACATATATCAAGATGGTTTGCCTGCCTTTATCTTTATCAGTTCTGTGTTCAGTTAAGAACTTTTTAATGGACATCCTAGTCAAACCTATGAAGATTAAGTCTCTCTGAAACCATTAATCTCTAGGAGGTATCTTATATATTCCTGACGATCTGTTGTAGTCAATCAAGTCTTTTTCATTTCTGAGCATTTTAAACATATGGGGACTATATTTGTATGTTAATCTTANATAACAAGTCTATAACATGCAATAAACTGGTATTAACACGTCATCTGCAGTATGTTTAACAAGAATTTAAAATTTCTGCTGTTAAAAACAGAGATTAAAGCATTTAGAGGATTAGGACGGCGATGGATCGTATTTCAAATGTTTTATTGCACGTTGCTTCTCTCACGTCATCCCAATTTAATTTTCATTAAAAAAGAAATAAAGTGTCGAGTACTTATTATGTTTGTTTGTTATTTAATATTGTAACTTCAATGTAATTAATAATAAATAAAAGATTTTTACTCACTCGTAAGACATGATAACCTTCTGTACCACCTCCAGGAACAGGATTACTTTGAGAACCACCCATATTTTATATAAGCAACAATTATGACAGAAAAACAACTAAAACAGAAAAATTTAAAAATTTTTTTCAATTGAGATTTTCATATTATTTTCAATCATATTTCTTTTACAGGTGCTCATGGAATTATCATCTTTTCTCTCATGAACACAAACACAATTTTTATTCATTACTATGTATAATGATTTTTGAATTAAAATTTTTGATATTTATAAGTCAGTTTTCTCACATACAAACAAAAAGTCTTATTCTCTAAATTACTATGTTTCCATAATTTTGCTACTGGTGTATACTTGTATTTCAATAATATGGAGAATGCCATGGATAGGAGTTTATATAATGAAGGTGCTGAAGACATCCCCAGTTTGCACCATAAATAACCAAGGATGGTTATATCATATTTAAATATGTCTGGAAGAGGACATCAGACTGGAGCATCTGCACGGTAAGCAGGAGTCGTGGGTTTAAGTCCCACTCCGAGCCAATTCTTTTCTTCCAGAATATTCTAATTATTTAATAAATATTAATCTAATTATAATTATTAAATTTTATAAAAGATGACACCTAATACCTCCCTCTAGTGACAAATTATTTAGTAATTAATTAAATATAATCAAAGAAAAGTAGCCCGATGTAATCCAATGGTTATTTGGCTTTTCAAATTGAAGCAAATGAATTTCTAGTTTACATTAATTTTGTAATTTGAGTTTTCTTTTGACATTTGAACAGTGTTAGTAGGCAATATATATAATCTTCAAAGTAACATAAATTTTTCTCAAATATGAACTTTTAGTTAAAAAATTAATGTATTAATAACTTAAATCTGAAGTTATTTCTTTATCACAAATATTTAAAATAAAAAAGAATTTTATAATTTCTAAACATATCAGTATTGATGTGTGAAAATCTTACTGAGCATTCAAAATAGAATTTAAGTTTACTTCTATTGTTTAGAATATTTTTTTGATTTTAATAACTAGATTTTGCATTATGGCTTTTATATAATAAGAAATTCACAATTATTTAAAGATGCACTTAATCTTTTACTTGTAAAATCTTTAATTATATAATAAACTAAGTATGAACAAAAAAGATTTGAATCTCATTAATTATAAATTAATATATATTAAATGAACTATGATTTGACTAGTACATAAATGGCCATAACAAAACTGAGCATTATTCAGTTTCATATATCATAATACCAAATATTTAATCTAGTTAACAAATTTGATTATTTAATATTAAAAAAAATGTTAAAAACATGAATCTAAAAATTTTAAAAGCAAAACACACATTTGGTTGAAAGAAAAATGCCAATTTCTGATATTAAATTGATATATTTTGGAATAGTAATTTTAAAAATGAAAAAAAGCATGCAAGAACTTTTGACAGGAATCAATTCTCACCTTAAGACATGCATATTTGAACATCTAAATCTATGCCTGAATATGACAGAATAAGTTCATGAATGTTTCTTGTGAAATACTGCTTACAAGATTTAAAGTAATATAAATTTCTGAAAAATTTTGTAAAATAATTGTAGACTTAGCTACCTATGAATTTGAAATATAACAAATTTTTAATTTATATGCAATTCTAAACTTTACAAATCAAAACCACAAGAAACAAATTTCTTTTTTTTAACCAAATAATTGTAATATTATCCTGTATTAAATTGCGTTAAAATATTTCAGATCATATTTTAAATAAAATATATCTTCAATCTTTTTGTTAAGTATCACATTAGTATAACCATTTAGAATAAACATAGAAAATTGGAAATAAGCAATTATATATCTCACATAGATGCAATATAATTACTGTACATCTTTTTACAATTTAATTGCAATGAATTTTAAATATATAAATGACTTATTGTATTCCAGTGGCGTTTTAAATCAAAATAAAACTTTTTGACTACCATTTCCAATCTGTAATTGGACATCATCTTCAAATAAATCAAGAATAAATTTATTTGAAGTTTCTATGTTACAAACTCAAACTGTATTTGAAATACTGGAATTTTGATATACACGAAATGTGTTTTATATTTAGAATACACATCAGGAAGAGCTATTTTCTGTTTACTGAAACAGAAAATGAGCATGCTGATATGATGAAAGTGAATAACAAGTCTATAACATGCAATAAACTGGTATTAACACGTCATCTGCAGTATGTTTAACAAGAATTTAAAATTTCTGCTGTTAAAAACAGAGATTAAAGCATTTAGAGGATTAGGACGGCGATGGATCGTATTTCAAATGTTTTATTGCACGTTGCTTCTCTCACGTCATCCCAATTTAATTTTCATTAAAAAAGAAATAAAGTGTCGAGTACTTATTATGTTTGTTTGTTATTTAATATTGTAACTTCAATGTAATTAATAATAAATAAAAGATTTTTACTCACTCGTAAGACATGATAACCTTCTGTACCACCTCCAGGAACAGGATTACTTTGAGAACCACCCATATTTTTAAATTATTATATTAAAATGTACTTATATTGATTTAAATTTCAATTCTTTCAATATTAAACATTGTAAACAATTAACTATTAATGAATTAGAATGGAAAATTGCTCAAATTAAACACAAATACAACACACCAACGTAAATCCTTACGTGGCATACACACGCCCAGATCACAACGCCACCATCTCCTAATTATCTAACATTTAATTTATTAAAATAATTTTGATCGAAAATTTATTCTCGAAATAATTTATAATATTTATTTAAACAGTACATAAATTTAATAATTTAATAAACATATTTTAATTAACTTTTTTTAAAAATAAATAAATATATATATTTCAACGATAGTACTTTATATTACGACGTAATCTTTAATTACGATAGTACTTAATATTACGTCATAATATAAAATACATTACTTTTTTCATTTTTTGCTCTACGTACGCTAAGAACTTTTTAGCCACGCCTATCTTGAGTTCAATTAAGGCACATGGGACCGGCTAGGTCTTTTTTCAGTTTGGTATCTTTCTTATTGTGAATACTGAAACGGCCTTTTTTCACGCCCATTATGAAACCCATAATGAAGAAGCTGGACGATGAGGAATAGAAACAAACTTATTCGGATCATTTCTTCACCTTTAAAAAATTTCTGAGGCTTTCGACTTTTCATCAAGTTTTTTGTTTTATGAATAATAAATCACTTATAATCTTTGATTATAACCTTGTTACTTATTTAGTCATAAGAACGCTGCGAGCTTATCAATAGCATGGAAATTTCTTATATACCGCGACGGGGATAAAACTACACAGTACATAATTTGTTGTTATATAATCAACGAAAGGGTTTATCATTATTGTTTATATTTTTTATTGTATATTAATATGTATTATATATTTTTGTATATTTTATTATTATTATTATGTTGGGTTTAGTGGGTTATACTTGGTTGACACTGGTGTCTATGTAATATGCCGGACCAGAGTCAAGGCATAGCAACCAAAAACTATAATTAAATAAGTGTGTCAGTGTCTGTATTCAGGAATTTCCTAACAATATGGCATGTATTTAGTATAGTGGCCTTCTGTAGTGTGATGTATGTATTTCTATTCAATTGTAACGTTCCCAGGCTTTGTGTAGCGTGTCTGGTATCACACCTGTACAGGAGAGAACGACAGGTACAATAAGCACTCTATCCATCCTCCGTAGATGTCTTATTTCCTGGGCGAGTTCTGTGTACTTGCCAATTTTTGTGAGTGTTTGGAATGGATATGTCTATAATGTATGTGATTTTATTGTGTTTGTCAATGAGTGTGATGTCTGGTCTGTTGTGGTAAATTGTTTTATCTGTGATTATGGCTCTGTCGTAGTACATTTTGTGCGTGTTGTTTTCCAGTACTGTTTGTGGAATATACTTGTAGTATGGTTCGTGGATATATACCAATTCGTGTTTGTTTGCAAGCTCTTGGTGTATTATATTTGCTACTTGATTGTGTCTGTGTAAATAATCTGTCTGTGCCAAGAGCTTGCAACCAGAAGCAGTGGCGTAGCATATGTGTCAGCGCCCGTGACGGAGGAAATTTCGCCGCCTCCTTATTTAGGTATCCCAATTTAAAAGACTAAAATTCAGTTTCTTCACAGAATAAGTAATGAAAAATTCCGTGCTCATTTCAATCGGTCCGAATCGTAGGTGCGACAAAAATATGAAATGAAATGGTTCAAATTTTTACAAGATATTATTATTTAGTGTGAAATTTTGCCGCCTCCTAAAAGTGCCGCCCGGGGCGGGTCGCCCTTGCCGCCTCCACTACGCTACGCTACTGACTAGAAGTGATGTGTTTTTTTCTTTTTCTTTTCAGGTGTTGTTTTATATGGAGATTTTACTCAATATAGGCTCTTTCTCCGATTAGACATGTGTGTATCGCCTGGCAAATCGATCGCTATGCGACCGATTTTCCAGCCGTATCCGAACGGCCTATACGTACGCGCGGGAATTAATGCCTTCCGGGAGGACTTTTATGGGGAACTGGCCTCCTATTCAGTCGTTATTGGCAAGGAGAAAACCCGGAAAACTCCAAGCAGCCAGCCTGTCCGATCGCGGCGCGAACACACGACCGAACTTCCCAGTGTTTAGGGTCTGGTCACCGCTATGAGCGGCAACGGAGATCACTCCCCCACTGGTGGGGGCGAAGTGATGTGTCATATAGTCATATAGTTTCTGGCATGATGTGGCATTTTCTACATGTGTCATTTGTGAGTGTTGTATCTTTGAGTATGTGTTTTCTGTAGTTTTTAGTATTTATGACTTGATCCTGTATGGCAATCATGAATCCTTCCGTCTCCCCAAAGAGGCATTCCCGATCTAACCAGCTGTTTGATGCAGTTTTGTCAACAAAATCCTGGGCCAGGTAGTAAGGATCCTGCCATGGAGTGCCTTTCGAGCTCACGATTGCTTGATGGTGTCTATGCTTTTTATATGTTGTGTCGGGTCCATATGTTGTGAGTGTAAATTTAATGGTGTGCTATTTGAGTTTGCTAGAGTTATTGCTTTATGTAACTGTGATGTTTCTTGCTTTTTGTAGAAAAGCAAGTCTGTAGACGCAGTGTCTGTATTTGTTTGTAGTGAAGGTTAACTACGTCAATCAGGCCACTTCCGCCATCTTTACGTGGAAGGGTTAATCTTTCTGTGGCGGATTTAGGGTGATGTTGTTTATTATTATTATTATTATTTATGTTACTGCAATTGTACGTCACTGATCTATATTTGGAACACTGTTGAATTTAAATTTTAAAAACTATTCCTGGTGTTGGCTGCACAGATAGCCGAAAACGTTAAAAAATTAAAAATGTCTGCTGGAACTTTTTATTTTTACATTTATTCCAGTTAAGAAATTTTATTATTAAAAGCTTATCCAAAAATTTTCATTGATTTACAGTACTCATATTCACGTATTTTCGGGTATTCAGCAATTACACAACCATTTAAATGATTATTTCCTATGGAATATTGAAACTGAATTTTAATTTTTATATATTTGCAGGTGTTGAGCAGATTATTTTCTATTTTTTTTATCCTTTGTAGAATTAAGTGGTGTTTTGCAAGAAAAAGAGGTACTTAATATTACGTCATAATATAAAATACATTACTTTTTTCATTTTTTGCTCTACGTACGCTAAGAACTTTTTAGCCACGCCTATCTTGAGTTCNAAACTGAATTTTAATTTTTATATATTTGCAGGTGTTGAGCAGATTATTTTCTATTTTTTTTATCCTTTGTAGAATTAAGTGGTGTTTTGCAAGAAAAAGAGAAATGTTCTGTTCGACATATGGGTTCCCAGACGAGGTTCAAATTCGAGTAAACCGTGCAATTCTTGCGTGACACAAGATGTAAACAACGAGACTCGGAACTGTTCGAGTATGTGTCAAACTATCTGTCAAGGTCTTAGCGGAAGATAAACTCTAACACGAGCGCGCATAAATAGGTAGATCATTGACTCGCTAGTCTATAAAATGTTGGGCGTGATAAACCTTTTCGAACAAAAAAAGGGGAATTTTTGATAGATGAAAGATGAAAATGATCATTAAATTCTTAGACGTCAAAAAATGGTATAAACAATGGCCTGAGTTATGAGTGCAGGTGTTATTGTTTTATAAACAGTCACCGAGCAGAGTTGACAAAGAGGTATCAGATGGACACCTGGAATCGAACCTTTCCCGCGACCCGAAAAGGTTTCGTCTTGCACCTGGAGACAAAGGAGAGACGAATCAGAAAGCGAGGAATGGGACGAGGGACCAATCCGAAATGCGAATACTGTGGGAAAAACTATAAAAATCGGAACTTCAAGGTCGAAAGAGAGTCTCCTCTGGATTAAGCCTACAGTTGTGCTTTATCTATTGTGTTCTGCTACCGCCGATCACCTAGGACGCCGAAGCTTAACATCGAACATCTGCATCGTCCAGCGATCCTTCTCGTCCGCCCGGGCTACGACCGATCACCCGAGCGCTTACCGTTTCATAGGAACATCGAGATTTTGGAATTGTCCAATATCGATGTAAGCATGAATTCGAACGAATAAACGGGTTTTCTCTTGTAAAACACTTGTTCTTCATTTGCCTCCTTCGCCACCGCCCACATACGCGGTTTCCCTTAGGCTCATTATGACGCGGGATAAATTGTACTCCCCTTAACGTAGGCAACCTTACAAACATAGTATTCATTTCAAATATAACGTAGGCCTAGCCTATCTTCCCAAATGTAGGAAATTATAACTGTAGGCTCATGAAATAAATGAAAGTAAGATTTACAAAAACAAAACAGTTGCCGAGTGGATAAAATCACCGAATAATGGTAGTTTGTCTGTACTTTATTAGCTTGGGCTTTAGACTAGGTACAGTACCTCGGTTAAAAACTGAGAAAATTATTTCTTCGAAAATTTTCTGTGTGCCTTGGATTTCTTCTTACTTGTTAGTAGTTTGGAGCATATACTGGATTTATTCTCCGCTGAAATACTTTTATTTCCATCAATCCATTTAAACCGACTCCAAAACTTCAGCCACTTTATGAGGTTACTATCAAACTTCACCAATTCTAACTTTGGCAAGCGATACTGTGACTTCTGACCTGCCAATGATTCCCCGCGGAACCTCTGACATTTCCGATGTCTATGTCGTTGGTTAGCATCTTCAACCTATTCTCCAACGGCTTAATTTAACTGATTTTGTGTATAATTATACTGATTAGATTACAGCGTGTCCATAATGCGATAATAAACAATGTTAGTGTCGTATTTTAAAAAGCGCTTAAAACACGAATGAAATTATTATAAAGTAAATCATGATGAGCATCGTTGCTGCATTATTTGCTTTCAATGGAATCATTAATGTCATTAATAAAATTTCGATTATAAATCGAACCTTAATTGACTTCAAGCGAAATCGGGATATGCTTTACTTTTTATTGGTGCATATGCATTAACTTAATTTATTGTAAGTTTATTATAATTATATATATATTCTTTCCGCTGTCTAGTGCTACCCTACAGAGAGTTTAGGCCAGTAAGTTGAGTTTACTATCGTCTGTACAGTATGTAAATTAGATACCGTAAGTCTAATACAGCACTAATTTTATACATTTCTTGTGAAAGAAACATTTCTTATTCAACGGCCATAAAAATTATTTATATTAATGATGTCTCCAAAGTTCAACGAAGTTTTCGCAGAAAAATAACTTATCAGAAATCGCGCCCGCCGTTTGGTGCTCTGCTCCGCGACGAAAACAAGCTTAAGCAATGGCCACGTCGAACGGTGCAGACTCGGTAAGTAATCCTACAATTTTTTGTTTATAGCATAGTTTATACGGNATAATCCACAACCACAGAGAACTTATTATATAGTAAATTATATCACATGGAGGCGCACAGTGTAAAGTGCGCATATCTAACGATCGAGATTGGACTGTGATTGAAATTAATAAATACTTATGAAATATAAGATTTGTGTTATTGTCCTTATTTTTCATTTGTCTTTACAATAGATTATTAACGTTCGGCTTCGCTAAACAGAATTGATATTTGTGCAGAAGGAAATAAGACTTTTAGAATAAGGCCTGGAGCATATCGTAGAGTAAATGTTACTTGTTGGTAAATTCGACACGCTGCTTTAGCGATTAGCAGAAACGAAAGTAGTGACATTGTCACTCCTATAGGCAAGCGACCCAAACAATTTGGTCAAGTCACATGACATTTTATGTACAATTCAAATCATATTCGTTTTCACTTAATGCTAGTATAGTAATAAGGCCGATTACTTCATCAACTCTGTATTCATCCACACATTTCAGAAATCTTTCAAATTTTATGCTATTGTATTGCAGTAAATCAACAAAGTACTAGTATTTCAAACAGTGAATAAAACGTGACACGTGACACGTTCCCTTAATTACTTTTATTAAATAGGAAGATAAGATAATAAAAATTATCATTATTATTATTTATTTGCAGAACGTATGAATTATGGATTTGAACGAAAAGTCTGGTTAAGGTTGGGTGGGAACAGAGAAGACACATAAAAAGAAAGTCACGAATTCAAACAAAGAAACTGTTAAAGTTTCTGTCTGACAGGTACAAGTTTTGGACGGAATAAGTCGGAAGTTATTTCCGATTACATTTTTTAGCTTTGCTATTTTTTTATTGGATGTATTTTGGCCCTATCTCTGAATGGAACAATTAAAAATATAGCAAAATCCATAAAATGTAAAAAAAAAAAAAATTCACGAGGAATTGGAGAATGACACTTAAATGATAAATTCATTTTAGATTGAATATAAGAAATAAAGAATGAATGCGATTTAGAAGATTGAATTATACGAGATTTGAAGCACTAAGAAACACGAATTTTGTCTCCGTTAAGTTAATTACCGTTTCTAATGTATTTTGGAGTGCAAAATGCAAAATGATTATTTTCAGATACAAAGATACTTTTTAAGATACAAAATGATTATTTTCAATCCTCAGAATTCTCCATCACGCAAGAATTTTTCATATTTTTAAATTTTAAGAACAAAATATAAATTGTACAAACCTATTAAAATAAGGAAAAATTCTGTTGCCCGCAAAATACGGGAAAATTTTTATATTACAGTATTTGAAAAATAGAGCAGTTATTGATGGATTGATGTGCCAATTTTTTTAAGGTTATCGCATTGCTTAGGAGTTGTTTACGAAAAATTGCTGCTTTTTGTGGAACAATCAGAAAACAAACATTATGTTGTTAAAGGTTGAGAAAAGAGAGAATATATACCTGAAGAAAGAAATCTGAAATATGTGCCGCTGATAGACCCAAAGAAGATTTTTTCCCTCCTCTTCATATTAAACTTGTGTTAATGAAAAACTTCGTGAAAACCTTGGAAAAAGATGGACGTGAGTTTGTTTACCTTCAAGGAGTTTTCACAAATCTGAGAACAGCAAAATTATGGGAAGGAATGTTAGTAGAACTTGAAATAAGGAAGCTTCTTAAATATAAAATCATTGTGTCAAAGCTCCAACCCGTCGAATTATACACTTGGCATTTATTCAAAGCTGTGGTGAGTGGATATCTGGGAAATAGAGAAAAAGATAACTACGAATTTCTGGTATCAGTGTCAGAGTTACGGAGGTATGACGAAGAAATGGGTATCGTATATCCTTGAAGATTCGTCTTGTCCACTTTAATCTTGACATATTTTCACAGAACTTGGTGATTTGAGCGAGGAACAGAAGGAACGGTCCCATTAGGATATTTCTCAAATGGAACGACGTTAGTATGCATGAAGGAATCCAGCCATGCTGGAGATTATTGCTGGATTCTCAAACAAGAAACTAACAGTGAATATAAAAGAGTCGTTGAAATGGAGGCATTTTTGACATCTCAAATACGCGTATGTACATTTCACCTCTTGTATGCTGTAAAATAAAACAGCCAGCACATGTCTATTATAATTAGCTTTTTTAAAACCTGTCATAGGTTCAATTTAGCTATCACAAGCTCTTATCTATCGAACAGAATGACAAATTAGAAAATATTATGTATAAAAAATTTACTACAGTTGTGTTATTCTTCCTCTTCAACCAGTCCTCCTCCTTTAAAAGGAAATTATTAAAAAATCATCAATCATTCGAGTTGTGACAATGCCGAAGGGCACCCTCTATTCTTCGGCACCACAGGACCGAAGGGTCGACATTGCGTCGGCGAAGACTGCAATGGCAAATTTATCAGGACTGACACCACTGTGTCTTCTGGGTAGACACAGAGACCGTTACGTTCGAATTTACGCGCGAGCAGTCGCGTCTATGGGGGGTTGGACTCGGAATGGAGACCAATTAAGATAAAGAAGTGCGCTTTACAATTCGATTATAGAAATTAATATCCGTTTATTGATTATATAGGCCTAAACTAGTTACACTTATGCTTTTAGAGAGAGAGAGAGAGAGAGTTTACAATTGTCCATGCGTGGTATTTACCTGAAGATCGCTTTCTTGAATTGGGTCCTTTTTCGGTGAAGACATGTTCTTGGTGGGTACTTGGACTCATCGGCTATCGGCGGTTAAGCTTCTGATCACTGGCTATTGGAGGAGCATCGGCGGTAAAATGTATCCGAGTGTACACACACGACCAACCTTCGAGGACGCGAACTCTTCTGTCGGGCGAACTCCCTGTCGCGTCATCGAACCTTCTCCTTTATTTGGGGGTCCTCCCCCTCGCAATTGTTGTCCTTTTTTTTGGTAAAATCGTTCTTCACGTCCAATGGCGATTTTTCGCATTTTATTCTTAGTGACACATTCGATGTGTCACTCTCAAACAGGGAAGTAAGTCCATGGGAAAGGATATAATCATATCCGTAGCGATCTTTTTTTTCCGAACGAAATTTTTGAATAAAATTTTCTTTTCAAGTCCGACCTCTCACAGAGTAATTTAGAATTCTATATCATTTAAATGATGATTATCTTTTACGATGAGATCATCTACTTATTGATTATCAATGATATTGTCATCACAGAAATATATATAAAATCGAGACTCAGAATTACACCAGGTGCATTGAGTATTCGAAAGTTAATATAACTGTTTTCGAGGAAGATAGAATATTTATTAAGATGTAATTGAGCTATCTTTTCACGTTAAAACTAATTGATTTAGTCATATACGGTTATGAAGATGGAAAATGGATTAATATTTAGTATTTATTCAAACAGTATTAGATAAAATTTGAAACAAGTCTTTGTTTAGAAATATAAATTAAACGAAAGTAATCAGCACTCGTGTTTTCTGCAAGTAAACGAAGTGTGCAACAAAAGTCACCCATAATCACTAAATATTGTTTATTCATAGCCTGATCTTCCACAAGCAGATTTTAACTACAGAGCCTTTCTTATCTTATTATTTTGCCATTTTATTTCCCGTGTTGACACGTTTCCAAGGGTTTTCATTTGATCACGATTGAAAATTAATTTTATGTTTGTACTCTGTGTGTTGACTCTAGACTTTAATTTTCTTATTTCTTCGTAGAGATCCTTCTTACTTTTCTGCACTCTTTTAAATCTATGTAACGCATTATGCAATCGAGATTTCAGTTCATTAATTTGTTTTGATTTTGGTGACAGTGGCTGGCAAACAAGAATACCGAAGTCCCGAAATACTGGACCAGATGTCTCCTTATCTTCGTCTCCATTCGTGCTTTTACAGTCATCACCGTTTTCTTCAAAAAGAAACAAAGTATGCAATAAGAAAAAATAGAATATTTAATAAGAATATTTTAAATTTATATTATAAATATACCTGTACTGGGCTGCATAGACGTCATAGGAGATAAATTTGTAGCATAACTGTGGTCCAAGGTCGGATCTATACGCTCACAATTGTTTCTATGCCCTGTTTTTGGTCCAGAGCATCTTCTCTTAGGTGCGGGTCTGCGAGAAAAAAGTGTAGGCACGGCATGACGCTTCGGCAATCTTCTTCCATCCTTCCTGTGATTCTCATACTGATCTTTCTGAAAATGAGCCTATGAGAGTTAATTGTAAATATTCACATCTCACTAAACTTATAAAGGCTAAAATGTAACAGACTTAATACACTTTAGCCTTAGTTTATTAATGTGCAATGTACAATTAAATAGGTAGTCAAAGCAGAAGTCCTTTCTCATAAAAATTCTGATTCTTACCTCACAAAGTAATGCATGTTTTCCAGCAATCCATAATTTCTCATTTTCATCCAGCCTATTTACTTTAATCGCCCATGTTTTTTTTTTCTAGCTTCATCACTAGGAAATCGATGCAGTTTGAATTTAGGAGCTCTATTTGAGCAATTAATTACTGAACAACCCGGCATGATCTATTTTTATATGGTAGCTTTAAGAGCGATATAGATGTATCGGCAGATCTAAAGGCTAAAATAATGATTTCTATCCTTAGTATAGTAAAGTAAGAACTAACTCGATGTTTAGAATCTATTTTAGATCGAAATTACCTGGTATATAAAGTTTCCAATTCTGTTATTTATCGTAATAAATAGCTGATTGTGCATTCACTTGTCATAAACGGTTCGGAAGCTGGCCTCATAATGGCGTCCACGTGACCGGCAGTATCCAATCATATTTTGACTCCCCAGTTGACCATACTCTGTTTATAGAGGGCTCTATACCTTGCCCACGTCAAATTTAGGTCTTGCCCCGCCGCTTAACACGAAATTTTACTGTAAATTCTAATTAATGTCGGTTTAAACAAATTGAGTATCAACTTTCTATAAACTTGTGTATCAGTTGCCGCGTAAATCTTTCCAGAAGCAGGAAAATTGTGAGAGTAAAAGATTTGCATTTGAAAGTTTATGGAAAGTAGTTTTTAAAAGGTCTTTATCGCATGTTAACCATCTGTCGCATGTAAACATCGATATTACTGACCATAGAACATAATGTCGCAATGGTCGTTAATAATGTATAGTTACGAAATGTTCTCTCGCATTTTTGGAAAATTGCGTATTAAAAACAAACTTGTTTCAGTACGCCTAAACGTTAATTTTATTTATAAAATTCAAAGTTTGCAGCAGTAAAACTACCTTTAGAGGATTTCCTTTATGCTCACAGAAGAAACTTCCAACCAGAGACACAAAAAGACTTTTCCAAATTTTTTCATGAAATCCAATATCTAACGAAAAATTGATACTTAATATTAATTAAGTCTGATTTATAATAATAATAATAAATTCAATAGACTACTTTTAGCTTTTGTTGAAGTTCCAGATTGCAAATTCCAAACTGCCAAATGTCTTGAAATCCATTCTGCATCTAAAAAATTAAAATTATGTTAATAAATAAAATTAAGCAATTGAAAACACATTAAATACACAACTACCATGAATGTGATGCAACATAGCGAACAGCCCAATATGATGAAAATGAATGAATAAATAATCATCAACATGAAGACCCAAATTCTAAAACGCTGATGTATATCAAGATATAGGTATACATAATACAAAAAGCTCGATTTTCAAATTATTCCAAAATAAACAATAACGAAAACCAACTCAGATTTTGTATTCAGTTGATTTATATAAATCCACAATTCTTATTGACGCATTATCAAATCATCAAATAATTTAAAAATTCGCGAAAGTTAGCAGAAGAGTTCTTAAAACTATAAGAAACAAATACTGTATTATTAAAACACACAATAACAAACCGTGTGCAATTCTTCCAATAACCTGTTACAAGTCCAAACTCGACAGTACAAAAGAGTGATTCTAGTGGAAACAGTTGTTTATTTTTTAAAGCAGGATAATGAGCATATTCACAATTTGAAAATTTATTGTTATACTGTACATAATGCAATAAACGAAACTAAAGAAAGGCATTTTGCATTAAGGCATTAATTTCGACAATTATTTTTTCATAAAAGTATCTGTTTCTTAGTCTCGTAATCACATTGATCTTGTTGCGACTGGTAAAGGTCAGAGCTATTCAATAAATCATAACTATTAGTAAAAATGAAATTTTCATTGTTTTTGCATCACTTTTGAATACATCGTAAAATGCAATGTACAATGGACGTTTCGTTTAACTAAACCTGGTAACGATTGCCATAATAAAAACTGAACAAATTGGACGTAGATTTTCTTTATTTTCTGATTTTGCAATACAGTAATACCCCGAACTTACGCGATAGGTGGGACCGAGCGATAACCGCGTAAGTCGAATTCGCGTAAAGGTCGTGGTATAATTTCGCATTTAAATACATACAAATAATTTTTAATTGGGGCCGGAGACTAAAGAAAACAATAATTTAGAAAAAACTGTTTAATAAAATCTTAGATAATACATATGTCTAATAAATTATATTATTATACAGTTTTTCACATTTACTTGATCATCACACCATAATTTTAACATTGTTTCCATCTCAGCGATAATACCGTGACGTTTACGAATGATGCTTGAATTTAAAGGTTGAGCATTTTTCACAGCTTCGAGAATTTTTTCTTTACCTTTTATAATTGTTCTGACCGACAATTCCGGTAGATCAAACTTCTTTGCCAATTCACAAATTTTCATTTTTGTATNTCTGTTTCTTAGTCTCGTGATCACATTGATCTTGTTGCGACTGGTAAAGGTCAGAGCTATTCAATAAATCATAACTATTAGTAAAAATGAAATTTTTATTGTTTTTGCATCACTTTTGAATACATCGTAAAACGCAATGCACAAGGCACGTTTCGTTTACCTAAATCTGGTAACGATTGCCATAATAAAAACTGAACAAATTGGACGTGGATTTTCTTTATTTTCTGGTTTTTAAATACGCAAAACGGCTGCTCACAGAAACAATTTTGAACTAGTTCTATACCATACATAAGTGCTGTTATCGAACAGGGAATTAGGAAACAACTCATGCAAATTTTTTCTTTCATATACCAATCCTTTTTTATGTATTTTTTATGTCTATAAAACTGAACTGAAACGAAGCGAGTTCGGATTGCCCGTACTTTCATCTTTGAATAGAGCTTTTTGTATTTTATTTTATGTTCGTAAACTAATATTTTTAGGAGCTGAGTTTACCTTCCCTAATTGGACTGAGCTTGCTTGTGTAACATACATAAATCATTTTTATTGATCTCGTGTAAGTTCGTTAAAACAAGATTGCTCGTCAAGAGAATCATCTTATAAGTTATTATTTAACCTTATTGATTAAGGTAATTTGTTCTGAATAAAACTAAAAATACTGTTTAGCATTCGTTATATATTAGTAACGATTAACGATACACCGGTATGAGCTTTGCTACGTCTTCCTCGGAAATTTACATCTAATTAAATTGATAAAAATTCACTTAAGATGACATTCAGTAAATTGTCATCTTAAGTGCAATTGAATGCAATTCCCCTTAGAAATCTCTTAGAAATCAAAACATAAAATAATACTGTCAAAGCATGTTCAAAGCATGTTTAATGTAGTGTTTGACCGAACTTTCAGTTTCGATTTCAAAATCTTGTTTCGATCGAACCTTGGACGGAATGGTTATACCATTCAATAATAAGTGAGATAGATTTTTCTCAGTTGTGAAGAGCGTGAGTTCTAAGGGGAGAAGAAATAATACAGAAGACACACACATTGCTCCTATCCAACTGTAGCATTGTAATCATGGTTATTTTGGTAATGGCAAAATCATAGTGGCCATATAAAAATACAAATATACTTTTATTCGGTTGTTGGAAATCTCCAAGAATTTCCTAGAAACCGTTTTCGTCCCCCAAAATTTTTACCAAAGTTTTCTCCTAAGGAAATTGTATGTTAATTAAATATAAACATGCAATAGAATCGAACTAATTACCTTAATTATAATTACACAAATTAAAAATAATTTCTTTAAATGTTTTTTTACTTACTTCATTAAAAAACTGCTAATAATAATTAATTAAGAGTTCAATAGATTCGTATAACGATTTATATTTTACTTCTAATTTAATGGCTTTCGATCCCAGTTCAGGGGTAAGCCTGAAGACATACGAGGGGTTGGGGCTCTTAATACTGCTTCCAGTAATTGACCATATAAGCCGGAATCCGTGCATAATTAAGGAGAATGCACACGTCCTGTGCGGCAAGGAAAAGCGCTATCGCAAACGCATCTTCGCTGTTTTTCACCAGGTCGTCCCTCACATTTTTTTAGCATTAAAGTTCAGTTTGTTAATGTTAAAAGTAGTTCATTTGTTCCGACACAACTCAACACTCTGCTTATGAATTTTAATTATCGTCGTCTTAGTGTTTCAATTCATTTTAAAAAGATAATTTTATAAACATTTTAACAGAACTTAATGTGAAAGTTTTATACGTTTATAAATACGACTTCTTTAACTTTTCGGCAACACATTCTAATGTAGAAATATTAAGAAAAACAGACAAATGAGAAAATATAACAAAATATATATACTGACGTGGAATTATTATCCACGATAGTGTGTATATTGAATTGTTATTATGTACATAAAACCGAAACTTTATTGAAGTATGCGATATGAATTTTTTCGAACATTATCCTCATAATTTAGTATAGAACACATTTATAAACTCATAACACATTTTTTTCGTTGGAAATATCGATACTAATTTCCATAAAAGCTCCTTCAACGCGATCAATAACAATCCCTACGGATTAAAAATAACTCTGAACTAATTCAGTAATAAAAAAGCACACTTCCTGGATCTGAAAATCAACATAGTACATGGAAAGATACGCACAAAAATATATGTTAAACCAACATCTCACTCAATATACATCCCTTGATGCTCGAACGATCTTCCCAGATGGCTTTTAAAGCACTTATCGCAAGGGCTTACACACACTGCACAGACGTAAGGAACACCATAAAACAGTTAAACGGGATCAGAAACATAGCAGCCACTCACGGATACAGCAAAATACCATCAATACCTTAGTCAATAAATATAAGCATAGAACACTCCATAAAAAATAATAAACCCACTCCATCCATAACCGAATCGGTAATATCTAACAAGTTGCTTGATAGCGCTTTGAAAAACAGAGTGCAACAAGCAACTAACTTATAAGCGCAACACTACTGGTTACGATTTATTGTGTAATGAAAAAGACCCAAAGGATCCTTCAACGGTCATAAGAGCATAGGAAATACTCTTTACTCTAGGTCAGCAAAATAAAACAAATATACGAATAAGAAAAACATGTACGAAACACTAACTTGTAAGAGAGTATAACACAAAAGCTAAATATGATTATATTAGAGGGCGCGTAATCCAGGGTTTTTATATCCAAATCATCTTTCAATAATATATTTCCAAGCTGAAGAATTGTATATTATTAACAATTGAATTTATTGATTTGCTTTTTGAAACCTTGTCCTGTTCTATAATTCTGGCTTAGTAAACACTAGTATTGTGTTGTATTCTAAAGACACATGGCAAGTTTTTCCATCAAATATCTTTATTAGTTGAGTCGATACGCTACATTGTTTTGTACTCGATTCGGGCTTTGCTCCTCTTCAGTCAACTTTTGGTTACACTTTGTATAATTTAAAATCTTATAAAATCTTCTTTAATCCTTTGTAGATAAACCAGTATACATTACAATTTAAAAGAAAACGGAAAATCTTTCCTTTTAGATAGACTTTGATACAATACAACTGTAAAAAATTGAGCTGTTTCCGCCCCCTTTCCCCTTCCATCCCCTCGCCCAAAAAACCGTACAGTGTGATTGGTTGATTGACTGACAGAGTGATTGGTTCATCGCCCAGAGCAAACCGCTAAACATAGAGAGGTGAAGTTTGGTACACAGGGTACGTCATGAAAACGCACACTAAAAAGCGATTTTCCGAAATTACCCCGCGGGGGAAGTGGGAGACCGTTAAGGCTTAACCTGAAGAACGGCTTCTACTGTACTATTTTAGATGCGATTTTTTGTTTTGAACTACGTTTAGTCTTCACTGAATACTTAGGTGTATAAATTGATAACATTTTAGACATTGTTATAAATACTTTTATATATTTCGGTTTATTAACCAAATGACCGAACCGTTTTAAATTCGAATTTGTTATTGCTTATTGGTTCGATTATAGAACGATTGTAAACGTTCCAGAAAATTGATAAAATTGAAAATAGTTTGTTTGATTTTCAGCAATTCTCATCATTCTCGGCGGTAGGTGTTATATAACAATTACTATGGTTGTTGAAATACTAAATATAAATGGGATTTGCTTGCAAAATCCGCGCGGGCGAAGTCGCGGGTAACATCTAGTTTTTCATAAGTTATTTATTAAA